GTATCAGAGAAATGTTCATTTACTAATAATTATCTCTTCTATCAACCCCCTTACACTTTTCCAACTCCCCTGATCGCATCCCCCCAAAAAAGCTAACTAACAACCACAATGGTGTGGAGGGTCCTCACTCAGGGTGAAGTGCTTTCCAAGCACTTTGGGAGAATTATCACATTTGATCGTCACACCACCGCTGGGAGGTATGCACTTCATCAGCCCCTGTGATTCTGAAGCACACCGCAAGGTAGCTCGGTCGCTTGCCCAAGGTTACGCAGCTAACACAACCTGGAATTTGGACCCAGGTCTAATATGCTTTCAAGCAAATTAAACACTGCACTGTACTGCGTCTCAGGGAAAAAACAGTGGTTAACAGTTATTCTACACTGTTTCTTCTAAACACAAGGTGAGGGACTGGCCCTAGATCCCAAAATACCAGACGCCCCAGAATTACGGTCCATCTTCACCGGCTGGCCCATCTGACATTCTGAAGAGCTGTTCTTTGACTACAAGGTGGAAACTTCCAGCAGCTGAGGGACATGCTATTGAAACTGTTAGATCTGGCACCCAGCGGGGAGCTGAAACCTGGTATCTTATGTGTGATTAACCGTTCAACAACCCTTATCTGAGCACGACTGTATTTAGGTAACTGGTAAGTAGCTGCGATTTTCCCACAGAGAACTGAATTCGTGAAAGTCAGGACCTGGTCCTCTAGGAACTTCTGGACAAAGACATGAACAAGACGGTCTCCAGAAACGGCCTCTAGAGATACCTGTTAACTTCCTGTTTCTTTCCTCAAATTCATGATTTCCTGGAGAATGAAAAACCTGAGCACTGGTGAACACTGGGGGGGAAAAAAATCTAGTGGAACAGAAGGAATTGCTCCCCCATTTGCATGTTCTTTGGAGACTCGCGATTAACAGCACCAAATTACAAGACCTAAATAGGAAAAAGAGAGGAAACCAAGTAGTGGGAGTAATAGACAAGGAGTTCTTAAATGAACTGGCCCAAGGTCTAAACTCATTTAATCCTAGCAATTCTATCGTTTATATACAGCTGTAAGATCTACCGTTGCAAAACAGCACATCCCAGCCTCTCAAACACCATCATTAGGAGTGCCCCAAGTATGCACCTTACAGAGGGTGCCAGTAGGATCAGCTTTCTGGGTTGATACTCTTCACTCATTCAACCAATAGCTCACCAGTGCCAAAAAGGTGAGCAAGTAGTCATGCCCTCTGCCTTCACAGAAGCTATAGTCCAGAGAGGAAGTTAAATCTTAAACGAAGAGCAACACACACATTTGAATACTGACAGTGGAGGAAGACTGCGAAGGAAAAGAATCAGGTGCCTTTTAAAAGTTTGCCAGAGGTAGCCCAATTTAGATGGACTTAGGAAGATACACCTGCAGGTAGGGGTGGAGGGGACATAATCCCTAAAAGATGGATAGGAGTTAGCCAGACAGAGAATAAGGAAAAGAATGGAGAAGGTGCTGTAGTTGTGTAAGCCCTGAGGAAGAAAAGAGTTGATTTGTTATAGAAACTGAAAAGGCCCATGTGGTAATGAAATAGCCATTGGGAAAGGAGAAGAGAGACCCAAGGGAAGGTTAAGGGCAGCCCCACTATGAACACACCAGAACCAAAGTCTGCCCATGACCCATGAAGATAAGCTAGAAGGGTCTATATTCAGCATCTCAGAGAGTGAATATCCAAATTGCACATATGAAAAAAAGGAGCAGTAGGAAATAATGCAATCAACTTTCAAAATTCTCAAGTGACAGCCATCTGGAACTAGAAAAGCTCACCTAATCCCACCAAGCCCCAAAGTCTTCAAATGAGCTGAGAGGAGCCCATGCATGAGATGCTGTTATGTTTTCTTGAGCGTTTTCAGAGAAACCATGCCCTCTACCACATAGTCAGATTATACAGGGACTCACAGCCACTGCTCAGTAGGTGAGCGAGATAGGGCACGCTGCTACGCCCAGGGTTCCTTTCCATGTGCCAGAGTGGGGGTGTCTTATGCCCAGGGAAAGGAAGAAAACAGCCCATGTGGACTGAAAACCCTTCTGACAGACACATTTCACTGCACCCCAGTGTGAGCTCTTTAAGAAAAAGAAAAAGAAAGGCACAAGCATCTAAACACAGGCTGAGTTAGGCCTCTATTGGGTCTTCCTTCTGTTCTATAGAATTGCTCATACTGCACATCTACTTTCAGACCAGACTGTCTGTTGAGAAGACAATCTATCTAAGAAGAATGAGCAAAGACTTCTGATTCAAGTAGCAGATAGAACATAAAAATTCTGTAGTTTCACCTTCTCCCACAATGGTTCTAAAATCATGACAAAATTTATAAGAAATTAAAAAGATATAAACACACTCAGACAAAGAAAATAAGTATAACATTTGGGAAACTAGAGAGCAGAAGAATGAGTGGGGACTGTGATCCAGCAGAGCAGAAGAATTCAATCTCAACAAGCAGTGGGGAAAGGCGAGATGACACAGCCCACGGGACTCCAGAGCAGGCCAGGAACTGGTGGAGCCTGAGAGCCCTTACACAGGGGAGGAAAGGCGAGGCTGAAGACAGAAGGGCTGGTTTCAAGTCCTTTTAAGAAGGACTTCAGCTCTAGATCGGCTTCCCCATCTCAGTAGCTGGGCAACAGCTCCCGTCTACCCAGTGGAAGACTATGGGCTTATTCCCTGGCAAGGATAAAACACAGCATCTGAAGGAGGAAGACCAGGTAGTGCTTACAGCAGGGGTAGATGCAGAAAAGGAGAATCAAGGGAAACTTCAACACAGTGAAGCCTTAGCTCCCTGGGTCCTTTGGCCTTCGTGCTTCCCTGAGCACTAAGAACTAACCTTATATTCTCCAAGTGAGCGCTTGAAAGTTTTTTTTTTTCAACGTTTATTTTTTGAGAGATGGAGAGAGACAGAGCCTGAGTGGGGGAGGGGCACAGAGAGAGAGGAAGAGAGGGAGAGAGAGGGAGAGAGAGGGAGGGAGGGAGACACAGAATCTGAAGCAGGCTCCAGGCTCTGAGCTGTCAGCACAGAGCCCGACACAGGGCTCGAACCCACAAACTGTGAGATCATGACCTGAGCTGATGTCGGACGCTTTACCGACTGAGCCACCCAGGTGCCCCTTGAAAGATTCTTGTTGGGAGTATCTGACCAACCCAACAAAAAAAACCTAAAGTTATGATTGCTAAAGCCTCCACAAATAAAACCACCGAACACCCCTAGGGTGAGACTCAGAACAGACAAGTCCCACCCAGACACACAGAGAACTGAATTAGCTTTCCATGCCCCACTTTTAAAGATACAAACAGACAAGAATTATTGAGCATCTAAGAAAAAGCCATGAATATGAAAGACAGAAACCTAACTAACAGAAACAAAAGGCAACTTGAGATACACGGAGCTATACAGGGAGATGAAAACTGATTGATATTTTTAACGTCAAAAAAGACCTAAAGCTAAAAGATAACGTATTCATGGAAGAACAGCAACAGGATGCTGCAACACGAAAGAGAGACAAAAGCTGTTGAAGTAGGGGGAAAAAACGGATGAGCAAAAATTTAGAACGCAATAAAAGACTTAAGATAAATATGAAAAAACATCTCCCAGGAAACAGAGCAAGAGGACAAAGAGATGAAAAATACAAGTTACAAAAACTAGAAGATCACTCCAGGAGAGCCAACGAGGGGAAAAAAAAAAATCAAGAAAGTTTCATAGAACTAAAGGATTTGAGTTTTTAAGTTGAAAGGGCCTAACACATCTGGCTATGAGAACAGTCACACTCTGATAGAACCATGAAATTTAAGCCTGGAGTTTCCAAACAGGATTCTAAAACAAACAGAAAACAACAACAACTAAAATCACCATCACCACCACTACAAAAAACAGATCAGATACAGAGTTCAAGATCAAAATGACATGGATCCTCTGGAGAGCAAAGCTGGAAGCTTAGAAGCAAATGGAGAAATACTTTCAAAACCACGAGGGAAAATTATTCCCAACCTAGAATTCTGCACCGATTAGACCATCAATCATGAGTTTGATAAGCAAAATGTCAAAAACCTGACCTGCAATGCACCCTGGAGTAAGCCAAGACAGCGAACCTTGGAGGCCAGCAAGAATCCTACATGAGACGACAGGGGTCTCCTTGGCATGAGAATTCGGGGGGCCTGGGGCAGGGAGTGGGGTGGGGGGGCGGCAGCCATGCAGCAGCTTGGACACCAACCAGTCCAAATGGGAGCAGACTAACTGGAAGCCCTGGAAGAACCCCCTTCCCCCGAAGAGGACCAGATGGAGCTGCAGAGCACACCTGTTTGAAATTATTAAAAGGAAACTTGCACAACCAGGGGTGGGGGTGGATACTGGGAAGCGAATGGACAGCGATACAGCTAACTAAGTGACTGAACAGGACAGTAACTCCAGGGAGAGGAGCTGAGGAAGAGGTCATCTCAATATACTTCATGACGGCTACGAACAGCATTTACCAAGGCATTATACTGTGAACTCATGGGTCTACCCCAAATGAAATCATCCTGGCAGAGTAAGGGCAAGTAGGGAGGGCAAGGGTTGGATGGGGAAGGAAGGACATAGGAGAGGAAGGAAAAAAAAGCTAAATTCTCCCCTTCCAAAGTAAGAAGCCAAGAGATAATACCAGAAACTGAAAATTCAAGGAGTAGCCATATAAGCACAGTATTTAGAATGACAGAGGGAGACATATCCACAATAAAAAGCTAAGTAGTTGAAAGTGAAGAAAACTAGAGAAGGATTAAAGGGAATTGGAAGGGGAGAAAAATAGGGCTTAAAATCTTAAAATGGCCAAATAACTTATGGGGGCTATATATGGACAGAAACTAAGTAAAGTGATATAGAATTCTTTATTCACTACTGTATCCCTTACAATATTAGAAAAATGTGTGTGCCTGGATTTTATAGCACAAGTAATGCCATTCTTTTTTTATTTATTTTTTATTTTTATTTTTATTTTTTTTTTAATATATAAAAAGACATTTTATTATTGTTTTGCTATATAACAGTGAATATACTCAATTGCATTTTCTCAAATGGCAAATAAGACACAAGATAACATCTCTTTGATTTCTGAAAACCTCAATATCATCTGTCTTTTGGAGGATCCAGTTTCCTACGACGTCTATGATACTGTCCACGAGGATACCAGCGGTGCTTAGTAGTAAAGAACATTTTGCTAAGTTGTTCTATCATAGGGCCTTGCTCAAAGTGTTCATTTTTTTCTTCTAATCTGGTTTTCAGCACTTGATCATGTGTTTCTTCATTATTATTCACAGGATCTGGCCGTGGAATAGGTTTTGTATGTTCATATGGAATGTCCACAGAAGGGTGGTAGCATACTATTGTCCTGCCATCTGATGTCAAAGCAAGCTCTACTTTGCAATTATAGTCATCTGGAAGAGGAGAATACGTAGACTTATGACAAACACAATATAAAGCTCCGTTTTGAATCGGAAAGAAAGGTTTCCAGAGAGTTCTGTTTGATATCACCCATTTTACTGCTGCTAACACCATGATGATTCAAGATGCTTATCAGGTGGTATGAAAGATGATCTGAAGAGAAACTGCTTTTAAAATCTGCTTCCAGGCATACCTATTTTCATCCCTGACAGCCGCTCACCGCGGGCCCGCCATCTTACCTCCAATGCCATTCTTTTTTTAATGTTTATTTTGAGAGAGTGTGTTTGAGCGGGAGAGGGGCAGAGAGAATCCCAAGCAGGCTCTGTGCTCTCAGCACAAAGCCCAACGCAGGGCTCAACCTCACAAACACTGACATCATGACCTGAGTGGGAATTAAGAGTCAGACCCTTAACCGACAGAGCCACCCAGGTGCCCCAATGACATTGTTTTTAAGTGATAATTTTGAGGTCTTCTTTGAAAGCACATTTCATGAAAAAAAAATTCACCTCCAATCATTTGTTAGGACCTGGATACTGACCAGATACACTGCATACATAAAGGCTAATTTATGAACAGTCATTTCGCAAAGTCAACACTCCTCTAGTCTTTTAAGCTAGAATCCTTTCTTATTTATTAACTTTCATTTATTTTATAACCCGCCTTTTTCCTCAAAGGAGTCAAACCGTCATCTTTTTTTTTTTTTTTTTTACATCACAAATTTCTCTTAAAAGTATAAAGATACACAGTGAGTCTGGGCATTATAGAGTATTAATTAGAACATACTTTACTTAGCCCCCGCCTTTTGTTTTCCTTTTTCAAAGAACTAAGTTGTAGAAATAAGGTCATTTGTTTTCTCTTAACATTTACCTCGAACCCTGCACCAAAATGTTTATTCCTTTATTCCTTCCGTGTAAACTGAAAAGCCAAAGAGACACAATAAGCATTAATTCACAAAACAAGGGTTTTTCTTTGTTATGAAGTCGTTCTTACTAAAAAGCAACAGATGTCCGAATGTACCTACTTCAAAATAGTATTAAGATTCTATGACACAGGTATTATAATCATAAAATGTCCTGTTTATATTTTATCTTTCAGGAAGTGTCTTTTCTTAAGGTAAGAGAATTTTTGTTGAAATGATCACATACTGGTATCATCCATTTTTACTGTATTCCATGGACTTTCCAACTAATTTGCTTCCATTATTTCCTTGAAAATACATACTTTCAAGACTGTGGTTTAAAGGAACTCAAGGTCTTAATTTTTTTTAATATATTGTGAAATACATTTGTATTTGATTGTCAAAATACAGCACTGCACATCTCCTCTATAGAACCCAAGTTCACCCATAAGTTTTCACCCCAAGAAAATTCCTCTGACACTGAAGGATACTTGTGCAATGGCAAAATCTGAGGCAAGGGCTTCAAAATTAAGAGGTCATTCTGATTAAGTATCTCAGTTTTCCCCTAGAGTTTTGTTACTGTGGTGTTATTTGAATTGACTAATCCCCAAATAGCTTCCAACAGCTCTGAAGTATTTCCCGAAGTATAATCACCTTAGATTTGGAGACACCCTAAAAATATATAATATTGGACATATAATCCAATCTCTTTCTTATTGATATAAAACTGGCATAAAGAAGTTAACTCAGTTAACAAGATGCCTGGTTAATCAAGAGTCTCTTAATATAAGTACTACCTGAGACTTTCTAGCAACCAGAATGTTTTTTATTAGGTAACTTTTATCTTTGTATTCACACATAAAGGGATGTTCTATCTTCATGCAAAATCAAACTAGGATTCTGTTCATTGCCAAAAGACAGATGGTCCAATTATTGCTGTTACTGAAACCAGAAATGTATTTCCAAGTTACCTTCCCATATCGGGTTAGTGACCTGGCTTGATTTGCACCAAGTGGGGCATATGATCATAGAGTGGGTATTATTACCAGTTTTCCTCTTGTCCTACTAGATCACAGAGGGCAACAAGTTGTGGGGGGTTGGCAGGGAGCTGTCATACCAGTTAAGACTAAAATTCGTCAACAGACCCTATTCACTGAACGAAAACCGGGGAACCCTTCCTTACCAATGCTCCAGAGAGCAAGTCCTTAGACAGTTATAACAGCGGAACAAGAGCTGATGTAAGTTTTAGGTTGCACTTAAGTGAAACGTGTTTATGTTCTCATCTTAAAAAAAAAAAAAAATGTAAAAATAAAGACATAGAGATTAGAGGACAAGACCCAAAATAAGGAACATGATCATCCAGAGCAGACCTGTTTAACCAGACAAGTACTCTGAACAGGTGGAAATGCTATTATAAGTCACAAATGTGTTCAGAGATCTTTGGTTATTGGTTGAATCTACTAGGAATGTGTTTGGCTGCAAGTAATCGAAAACTCACTTTACAGTGCTTTAAACCAAGGATCCACAAACTTAAAAGGGCCAGAGAGTAAACATTTTAGGCTTGTGGGCCAAACAGTGTCTGTGGCAACTAGTCAACTCTGTCTTTGTAGCAGGAAAGCACAAATGGGTGTGATGGTGTCCCAATAACACATCATTTATTTAAAAAAAAAAAAAAAAAAAAAAAAAAAAAGGGAAGCCAGCCCACAGGGTAACTTGCCAACCAGCAGTTTAATCAAAATAACAATGCTTGGTGTAAAGAGATAGGACTGGGGTGCCTGGGTGGCTCAATCGGTTAAGCATCTAGCTCTTGAATTCGGTTCAGGTCATAATCTCACAGTTCATGGGACTGAGCCATGCCATCATGCTCTGTGCTGACAGCATGGAGCCTGCTTGGGATAGTCTCTTTCCACCCCTCCCCCCAAACAAACAAACAAACATTAAAAAAAGAGAGAGAGAGATAGGACTTACTCAAAAAAAAAAAAAGGAAAGAAAAAAAGCAAACTTCCAAGGTAGCAAGAAGGCTACAGGAGTTCCAGATGTGATATCCAGGTTCAAGGTAAGAGAACAGCAATGGGGGTGTCGGCGAGGACTGAGGCAAACACATCTGTCCCTTTCATAAGAAAGCACAAGTTTCCCCAAAAGCACCTCAAGCAGACAGCACCACTACCCCCATCGCTGGTCAGAACAAAGCAACACATACGGACACAACCTAAGAGTTGGAAGCATCTTAGACAAATCATGATCCACTGCCTAGGTCTAGACACATTGCTACCTCAAATAAAACTAGGGTTCTCATACCAAAAATGGATGAATGACTACTGGGTAGACAATTAACAGTATTTGTCACACTGGACTTTATTTTTTGTTTCCTCTCTATTGGTATAATCTGCTCAAAAAGTATGCTTTCTTAGGTTTGAACTAATTAATCAAACGGAGATTAAGATTAAGCAGGTCTGATGGGGGTGGGGAGGAATCAAAGTCAGTCTATCTCTGGCTCCCTAAAAATAGTGTTTTAATGGGGAAGCAGTGACTGACAACCTGAATGACAGTCCTACAGCCCAGCTTTGGGGCAAAAACACTTGACCTAGCCATGCCTCTATCTGCCACCTGAAGAGCAAGATTGTTCAAGAAGATGCCCTTGGAGGTCTAACATCCTAGGAGTTCTTTCAATGCTATTTGACCAAGCAAATATAGCATAAAGTATACAGTCAACAGTTCATTTGAAAACAGCAAACCCTAAATCGTAAATGTGGAAGATGCTCAGAGAGAGTAGTCTTAAACTAAAGAAAAAGGATTTTATTCAAACAATGCTTCACACACATTGCTAAAAGACTGTCACTCCGTTCAACCCTTCCAATTTCTAAGAAAACACACGTGTAAGAAGGGCAGTTAACTTTTTTAAAAACACTATAAATGTGTCTTGTAAAAATTATATGGTTTCTTACAACAAACTAAAAATAGTTCAAGTCCAAGATGGTAACTGTCCTAGACAGACTACTAACTTAAGAAGCCCCCCCACCATAACCCCTTCCCACATTGTCATTAATTCAGATTAAACATTGCAAAAGACATAAAACATAAATCTGATTGCTGCCTTAAGTTTTTCTTTTTTGAGAGGGAACAAATGGGTGGGGGAGGGGCAGGGGGAGGGGGAGAAAGGATCCCAAGCAGGCTCCGGGCTGTCTTGTCAGTGCTCGAACCCACAAACCATGAGACCATGGCCTGAGCCGAAACCAAGAGTCTAACCCTTAAGTGACCGAGCCAGTTACCCAGCAATCAGGTTTACTTTGGAGGCACTGCTCAAATGATCACCCTTTTAACAATACATTAATCAGAAGGAAGTAAAAATCATGGAGTCCTTAAGAAGGATGCTTTGCAAGAAAAATCCAAATGAATAACTCTTAGCTACTTGAGCAAAACAGGAAAGAGAGGAAGAGACCAGGAGGGATGGAGCAAGGAAGCTTTGGAGGAAAATTGTTTAGCAAAAATGCTCCCATGTTTTTCTGAGAAATCTAGTTTTATATCAACACAACAGAGAGAAATTCTCCTCAATAAGCTGGTCATAACTCCATGAAAAAAATATACTCCAAACTAAGTGAATGCTTGAATACTTGATTTAATACAGAACATTATTTTAGTTTAGTGTACTTAATTCAATATTTAAAGACTTGGAAACCGGGTGGAACTGAAAATCCACATTACGTCGGAGAGAACGTGACTTGTAATTAGTGCTGAAATAACACACCAACGTCGTTTTGCTGTTGTTACAGTGTTAAAATACACTTATCACTAAATTTGAACACATGTGAGTGAGAAGACTTTTACACAGAGACCAAAAGAGAGTCTATCAAATGATTGCTGTATGGCACAAGGGCAAAAGGAAGGGGAGGGGGGAAGAAGGAAGGCAGGAAGGGTGGGGGGGGGTAAGACTACCTCAGAGACGCAGGAGCTACTGGAAGTTAGCAGGGAGTCTTCAGTGCAGTGCACGTTTAATACCACTCTTTATTCAGTAACGGAGATCACTCTGCACCAGCCATCGGGCTGGGTAAGACATACGCTGCGCGTGAGGATTCTGCCCTGTAACAGACCAGGCAGCAGTTCCCAATCCTGACATACCAAAGGGGTTAGCAGGGGTTTCCCCAAATGCCTGTTCTCAGACAGATGAAAGAGCTCCCTTTGAAAAATGCTGGAGCTTTTCACCTCTGCAAAGCCTGTTTCCCTATATATTGTCTGCCATGGCCGTCTGGGAGTTTTAATCAACCCCCAGCCTCTTCACCATTTGTCATTTGCACCAACATACAATGGGAAAACACATTTTCAGACATGCCTCA